CTTTTAAAACCATTCACGAATGCGATTTTCAGGATACACACACAGATGATCGTTGTATGATTCTGAATGGGTAAATTTATGTTTATTACTGTTTAAAAAGAGTATTGTCCCACGATTTACTTGTAGGTTTTTAGAATCAGTAACAAATATCGTTTCAAGGTGGTTCTGGTTGTTTCTAAGGTTTCCAGTACAAAAATGCATGAAAGAAATAATAAAGAGAAGGTCGTGGCCTGTCTGGTCGCCACCTTTCACTTTCTTAGTCTTAGTAATCTTTGACCTGCCCTTGTCGTTCTCGAGCTAGGATCTGCGGTGGGTCCGCAAATACTTCGTCGCGACTGAAGAACTTTATGAAGCTTTTTTCATATAACAAAAATGTGATTGCAAACAGAAATTAGAATATTTAATACGTAGAAAATTTTTAAGTAACATATTTCAAAAAATACTCAGCGGGGAGTACGCATACATATATCACGATCTAAGAAGGAAAGTTTTCATGGAGCTCTTTCTTAAATGGCTCAGTTTCCGATAAACTAAGCATTATATTTTTTGAAAAATATAATATTTACGCAAATATTTTTGGAGATTTTTTATGAAACGTGAGCTAGCGACTCAATTAAGTAGAAAGAAAAAAAAGGAAAACGGCGAGACATTGTCACCCAGTTCGCCGAAAACGAATAGGAGCGTTTGATTCCTAATTGTATTTCTTCCATTTTATTAGAAAATTTAGAAAACTTACTTTTGCGATGTTATTGTTTCTTTTTAACATAATTGGACAATAACTTCTCTATTCATAGTAAAAATTCACAGCTCAAAAAATCGTTGTAGAAATTCTTGCACTTGTTATATTTTTTGGGTATTTGATGTGACAACATTGTAACTGAAATAGTATTTACAACAAATCCTATATATTCTTTTTGCGAAACATAGTTCTACTGTAGATTTTTTATTTCTATGACAGACTTATTTCAAATTGAAAAATAATAATTTAGGAACGACTCATTTTACGGTTATAATGCGACAGACATTTTTTCTTGAAAATTCTATAACACGGTTTGGAATTAAACGCAACTGATACATTTCCAAAATCACCATAAAGTTAAATTGGTATACAGGGTGTTAGAAGTTTGACTGCCTTAATTTTAACAGACGATAGAATGCATTAAAATAAACAAAAAACCCTATATGACATGGGTCCTAAACTCAACCATTTCCGAAAATAAAAATTATCAAAACCTCCAACTTAATGTACAAAAGTTCGATTAATTAAGGAGTATTGATATAACTGTGTGCATAGAATACCATAAAATACAATGTTTATCACTTTTTCAAACTTCTTTATGCTCAATTCTAAAAAATAATTAGCGTTTTAATAAATCTAAAATTCGATAAAATTCATATCGAGCAATGTGACAACGGCGTGGTGCTAAGCTGTCCAGCAATACGCAATTCAGTTGGTATCTGGAACTGGACCGTTTCTGAGTGTTTTTTGCGTACTACTATTTCCTTTCCTTGAGATGTTTTCCAGCGAGTGCGCGAAAATTGGATTCGAAGATGTCGTGCATCGAAAATGGTGGTGGACATTTTGAGCATATGTTGTAGTGTGTTTTGTACTTGTGCGTTTAAAAATTACTGAATTTTGCGTTTTGATAGGTCCCTAAATTATTTTTAATACGTATGATTATTTGGATGACGTGGATACTTTAATTACATATTTTTCAAATTCATAATTTGATTAAAAGTTAAGTTCCATCTCCATACTACAAAATCGATACATTTTATTTTATTTATTTAAAATCTGGAAAACAATTGCCTTCAAATGTATTAAATGTTTCATAATAATAGCTATTTACATTTTTTCAGTAGGACAAATCTGCCGCGTGCACACGTGGTGTGCATCAGCAAGTTAAGCGCTGTTGTCACGCTGTGATGAAACTCCCTAATATTAATGCTCGCTGTATTTTGAAAAATGTTAATCTTACGCCCCTGTAATATACAACTTTTTTCTCATGCTGAAGTAATGGCAATGGCAGTCAAACTTCTTACACTCTGTATAAGTGCCATATTTTGTGACAATGTCACCGCCTTGCTAAATATTAAGAAGTCTATTAAAAATGTATTTTTCTTCAGTATCGCATTATATACTGAGTGTCCCAAAAATAAGAGCTGTATTTTAACTACGCACTTAACTCATCAAAAGTATCAACTTTGGTCTAACATTATTTTTTCAGAAAATGATTAGTTTTTACTTTATCGTATTATCTATAAAAATTATAGTGGACAGGACATATAACTCTGTTGTGTTCTGTCCACATTTTCCAGTAAGTATGAAATTGTTTCAATTTCATATACAGGGTGTCCCTGAAAAGGATGGACAACGCTTAACCACAGGTTTCTGGATGAAAATAAGACTATTTAGCCTAACTTACCTATATACAAAAGTGCACGCCTACTGAGATATAGCCTTCTAAATATAGAATAGATAACCTATTTTTTTCAAATAATTTGAAAACTATTTTTCTTAGAAACTTCAAATTTGATACACTTATTTTTTTATATAAGGGCAAGGTAAATATAGAATTTGGAGAGAATAAATATCCAAGATGTTTTATTTCTAGTGCCTGTGCGCCACTGGCTATCCCGTAACTTTTTTGTGTGTATGCCAATAACGACAGAATTTATATTTTAAAAAATAACCACTATTTTAGAAGATTTTTTTGCTCTTACAAAATTTCAATATCGTTTATGGATTTCGAGTAAAATTCGCATTTTTTATACATTAATTATGGGCAAAAATTCGGATTTATAAAAAATAACTTATCACTGCAGCCTCAAAGCAGGGAATAATAATTAAAAAACGTCACATTAAAAAAATAACTACACATTTTTGGTATTANAAATATTAGGAAGTCTATTAAAAATGTATTTTTCTTCAGTATCGCATTATATACTGAGTGTCCCAAAAATAAGAGCTGTATTTTAACTACGCACTTAACTCATCAAAAGTATCAACTTTGGTCTAACATTATTTTTTTCAGAAAATGATTAGTTTTTACTTTATCGTATTATCTATAAAAATTATAGTGGACAGGACATATAACTCTGTTGTGTTCTGTCCACATTTTCCAGTAAAGATAGTCATAGATCTTGCCTATTAAATATATTCTGTCAAGTTTAATTATACTTTCTAGAGTTACAAATGGAAATACTATTCCTCAGACTTGTTTAACACCCTCCATTACTAAAACCATATTCTTTTTTGACAAGTTACGTCACTTCTCTGGATATTTCTCAGCAATTNTAATAATAGCTATTTACATTTTTTCAGTAGGACAAATCTGCCGTGTGCACACGTGGTGTGCATCAGCAAGTTAAGCGCTGTTGTCACGCTGTGATGAAACTCCCTAATATTAATACTCGCTGTATTTTGAAAAATGTTAATCTTACGCCCCTGTAATATACAACTTTTTTCTCATGCTGAAGTAATGGCAATGGCAGTCAAACTTCTTACACTCTGTATAAGTGCCATATTTTGTGACAATGTCACCGCCTTGCTAAATATTAAGAAGTCTATTAAAAATGTATTTTTCTTCAGTATCGCATTATATACTGAGTGTCCCAAAAATAAGAGCTGTATTTTAACTACGCACTTAACTCATCAAAAGTATCAACTTTGGTCTAACATTATTTTTTTCAGAAAATGATTAGTTTTTATTTTATCGTATTATCTATAAGACCTGTTAGACCTTTAATAACCTGTAATACCTACCTGTACCTTGTAATACCTGTAACCTGTAATAACTGGTCTTTTAATACTCTATTAAAGGAACTTTTTGAAAGCCAACCTCTGCCGCTAAACGCCTTTTATTTACTTGAGGAATTTCTTCGACCCTTTCCAAAATTTGTTCCTCCAGCTGAATAATTCCGGCCGTACATTATCCACGATTGAATGTTACAGGTAAAAAACATCGTGTTTCCCAAGGGCGTCTTTCCGGATTAGCAAATGTTTTGTGATTTGGACTTTGATTAAGAAATTTTTCAGCATATGTTCGAATAGTAGCACAACAATTGCCTTCACAATAACCCAAAACTACTAATATCTGTTTGTTCAGCAAAAGTATAAATTGCAATGAAAATCAAAGTAAGCTAAAATTAAATCACAGCTAGCTTGACACAGAACCTTTTAATTATTGTTGTGAATTTGTTTCTCTTTTATATGGCACCTCGTACTAGAATGTTCTATTTATCTTAAACTGATTTTATATTATTTAATGTGTAAAAAATGCCAATTTTACGAAATCCATAAACGATATCAAAATTTTGTAAGAGGCAAAAAATCTTCTAAAATAGCGCTTATTTTCAAAAATATAAATTCTGTCATCATTGGCGTACATACAAAAAAGTTACGGGATAGCCAGTGGCGCACTGGTACTAGAAAGAGAACATTCTGTATATGTATTCTCACCAAATTCTATATTTACATTGCCCTTATATAAAAAAAATATGTGTACCAAATTTGAAGTTTCTAAGAAAAACAGTTTTCAAATTATTTGAAAAAAAACTAGGTTATCTGTTTTGTATTTAGAAGGCTATATCTCACTAGGCGTGCACTTTTGTATATAGGTAAGTTAGGCTAAATAGTCTTATTTTCATCGTTGTCCATCCTTTTCAGGGACACCCTGTATATTTCAAGTTCATATGACAGTAACTGCCACGTTGTGACAATTGAAATTGATTCTTGGACATACTTTACAATCTTTTTAAGATAGTAATCAAATATTAATAATAATGTTATTAAAATGTGCAAATTTTGTAGAGGTGCTGGAATAACATAAAATACCTTTGTACGTTTTTTATTAAAAATACATTTAACATCTTTTAACAACAAATTACTTAACATAAGCAATATGGGTATAACAACAAAGTTCTTTGCGAAACTACATTTAAATAAATAAATTTAAATAAATAATAAATAAATTAGCAGCGCTGGGAAAGTAATTCTTCTATCTTCTAATAGTTTCTGTTATCCAAGGGATGTATTCGGATACTCTTGTATAAATGCCTGGCAATTGTGGCCTAGCACAACCAATTCCTGTCGAAACTACACCTACAACCACCATTTGGTCGTTTTGCCCCTCAGTGTTAATCATCAATGGACCGCCACTGTCAGCCTATTGAAGAAATGTTAATTGAAAATAAGAATTTGATATTACAAAAACTTAAAAAAAAACTTATTTTAAGAAGGCTCTCTAACAAATAGGCAACCATCATACATTTTTATAGATTTTATTACAGTTTGTCTAAATATGAATTATTGCCCAAATAACAGAGTTTCCTCCATTCTAACCCAGATTTTCTGTAAAAAGGAGTTAGTTTGAAACTCAAATTACTTTTTGATGTAAAGTAATTTGTAATTTCGAACAAGTGGCATTATAAATTACAAATTTCTTTACACTAAAAAGTAATTTGAGTTTCAAATTAAGTCCATTTTATAGAAAATCTGCGTTAAAATAGGGGAAAGCCTGTTATTTGTGCATTAATTCATATTTAGACAAACTGTGTAATAAAATCTATTGTTGCCTATTTGCTAACAAATTAAAATCATATAATTATCTGTATCGCTTACCCAACAGGCGTCAATTCCTCCTTGTTCGTGACCAGCACATAACTGAGTCTCTTGAATTTTTGTTTTCTTTCCTTGAGCTTTATACCAGGATCTACATTTCTCAGTTTCTATTACATTTACTTTGGCTTTCTGCAAGATCTTGGCGCGGCCTCCTGTAAACATAATAAAGATTCAAAACCAACATTTAAATGCAGGTTTATTCACTTACTTCAGCTTGGACGAACAAATGATTTTCTGGCATAAGTAAAGTTTTTATAAATATGTTATCTAGTTTGTAGGAGAATAAAAGAAAGAAGCAGGAACTGTGTCTATGATTAATATAGCAAATACATATTATCACACCAATTTAGAGAGGAAATAGTACAAATAATTACCAATAAAGGCCATCAAAGAAGTTGAAAACAGTATCTTTGAATTTATTGATCCTTACATTGATGAGAAACATCTTATGGCGATAGAATTAGTTGAATAACAATTTCAATATTGCTTATTAATATCGATCCAAAATCGACCAATAAAATAGCGTAAGTAGCAAGCACATTGTGAATTGTACATTGATAAGCCAATTTGATGTCGAGCTAAACTGTAATTGCTAATTTCTAACTCTAACTAACATTAGTAACTAATGTGTTCAGGTAGAGCAGTTCACGATCAGTACCGTGTTAAGAGAACTGAATACCTCAATGATTAACAAAAAATTACTTCTATTCTGTCTAAATTAGTAACTAATGGTTTACCTTTTGAATTCTTTTCATTGGTCCATCCCCATCCAGCAACGGTAGCTAAGATATTATCAAACTTAGAGTATCTGTCGTGATTTGCAGCAACTGGTAGGCAAGCTGGTATCACTGAATCGGACCACTGAAGCTCCTTTTCTAGTTCTAACATGGCTATGTCGTCTTTCGGTTTGTTACAGATATAACCCGGGTGAATCATAACTGTTTTTATGTCCATTTGGTAAGCGTCGCTGTTTGTATTCGTCAAGTCATGTTGCGAGAGGGTTATCTTGATGTTTGCTGGTTTTAAGATGTCTTGGCCAACTCCACTGGAAAAATAATTTAAAAAATGTATTAATACAGTGTAGTTCTTCTAGTTCTACATAAAAAGGCAACAATATATTTTAATTTAAAGTATTCGTGGACATATTTAAATCCAAACATAAAATTTTTAAATATGTGACGTCAATTCAGTATGAACAACGCGATGAAAGTCTACTATTCTCCACTTAATGCTTAATATTTGCTAAGTTTAAGTGTTGTTTAAGTTTAAGTTTTTTAATGAAAAATAATTATTTCGAAATGTGTTTTAAATAAATTTATTTAAATTTTATAATTTGATGTATTTATACTCACCTGCATAAGCAGTGTCCAGCTGTCAGCACAAATCTGTTATTGATTACCGTACCCCCGCAAAAGTGCCCACCCCTCCTGGTAATGGACACCAACCAGGGAAATTCTCCTTTCTCCGCGTTTTCACCACCCACAACTTTGGCGAAACGCCGTGCGACTTTGCGACTTCCGCATCTCACATCTGCGACTGCAACGAAAGCGTTTATGGAAAAGTGTTAAGCAAGCGGATAATAAAATATGCATTGTATAATTGCATTTAATAGTTGACCAGACCTTAACACAGTACTATGGAATCAGGTCAAATATTTTAATGGTACTTACAGTTGTTAAATGCGCCTATCTCTATTACCATAATAGTCATCACAAGCAACACTGTAATTTGCATTTTGGATTGTTTTAAATAATTGACTTGGTACGTAATTAATTTGTTTCAGAAATGTTATCACAGTTTGTGTAGTAATTTAATTTTTATGTTTTTTTTTTTGACTTTTCGTGCCCCAAACAGGTTTTCCGAATGGGATATTCCAGTAAAAGCCGATTGGAGCACGAATAACTTGGAGAAAAAACTGTTTTTATATATAGGCAAGAGATAAAGTCACAGGTAGGTAGGGATAAATCCCTTCCTTAGTCAGCGGTTGACTTCAAGGGTAGGTGATCGATAAAATTCATTGAATTAATTTATATTCAGTTATGATATTGGCTTCCGAGATAACCTTGTCTATTTTCAAAGGCCACCATTGTTTTCATGCAGATGATAAAAATTGTAGTGGAAGCATTGCCGACGCAGAGCAACTGCAAGGTTCGCCTCTACTAATTAGGTGGCCCCCTCATGAAAATTATGATAACCAAGTAGGAAGCCTCACCGGGCAGATATGTATAGCTATTTTATCTGAGTTTATTAACGAAACGTTTGGTTAATTTACGGATAAAGCGTACTAATTTCAATATCATTTACATTTACAACTGTTCCTGAAGTCATGTTGTAACATTTCCGATAATAAGAGAAGACCTCATACATTTCATATTTGCCTCGTTGGTCAATTCAAGCATACGATTTCAGGCAGGTAAAAAACCAAAAATGGCAAAGTCACAGACGTCGCATTGGGTAGAATATAACAATAATATATTAATATAAATTTATTTGTTTAGTGTCATCATGTTATGGCAACGGATGGATATGAACATAATTTGTGTGGGTCGTCTTGTGTGATAAAATTGCAAAGTGCTATTATACTTACGTGTGCATTTTTGAGAACGATGTGAAAGGGGTGCTTTTTGAATACTTAGCTCAAAAATTTGACAGAATTTTAAAGAAATTTTTGGAAGAAAATTATATCTCATCGAATTTTTTTTTACAACCTCGATAAAGCTTTACATTTTTTATACTAGGTACAGGGTGATTCATTATATTTTAACCCCCCCCCCAAACTTTTTTGTTTTAAGAGTTACAAAAAAATATGAAATACAAAAATTACACGATTTTTTATAAAGTTTTCAAAAATGATAGAAAAACAAATGAAGTCCAAACAAAATGGCCCAGGATGTTAACTTGGTTAATTTAAATGGAACACCCTGTATATTTTTACATATTTGGATAGAATGTTCCATGTCTAGTATAGTCATATAGGGTTTGTTTCGTCCATCTCTAACAATAAGTGAGATAATATTAAAAAAAACGAAAAAAAAACGGCCCCGGCCGTTTTGTTTGGACTTCATTTGTTTTTCTACTATCAATTTCATAAAAAAATAGTGCAACTTTTGTAATTCACATTTTTTATAGCTCTTAAAACAAAAAGTTAATGGGGAAAGGGTCAAAATATAGTGAATCACCCTATACACATAAATATGAATAAATCTGCAAAAACTGTGAAAAATCGCGAATTTTTTAATTACATTTTTGCTTATAACTTTTTTCAGAGTCGATACGTGTAGGAATTTCTTCAGGGACAAACAAAGTAAATGTTCCAATCTCTAAAATAAGATATGAAAAAAGGTATTGGCATTCAAAGTTACCTATTTTTTGTTGTCTTTCATTTCTTTTGCTTACATATCCTTTCCTTTAGAATTATCAATAAAAGTTTATACTCTTAATGCAATTTTAAAGTTATAGGATAACAATTCACATAAAATTAAGTAGTAATATTAGTTGTAAAGGAAAATAAATAAATAACACATAACCTTCGACCATTTCTTTATTTCTTTCAGTTATTGAGATTTTTTCGACTTTAAAGTTTGTGTTATAAAAATTTTTATAATTTTCATTTTTTCCTTTTTATTTTGTGGTTCCAGGAAGTTGGATATTAAATGTTCCATTTTTTGCAATGAATGCTCAAGAATCAACTGCAAAAACGCAAATTTTCCAGATACATCTGAAAAGGACGGCTATACAGAAAAATACCTTAAAATAGCGTTATTCTCATCATATAACTTTTTTTCATCGCTCATTTTGGAATCTCTAGGTACTTTCTTTTCTCTGTTGCAGAGTTAAACGCAAAAACGTAAACAAAATTATAATTTTTTATTGCAATTTAAGTTAGAAATTAGCTCTATCCACATTGTGGACTAAATACTCCATGTTGTAGTCAACTTTGAGAGCTTATAAGAACATTGAAATTTCTAAATTCGGAAGACTAGTGGCATTTCTAAAGTATAAGCACAAACATTTTCAACCAAAAAATCCAAGGTCTTAGAAAGAGACCAAATCGAACAATTTTTACGTGAAGCCCTAGACGATCATCTTATGAAAAGATAAGATAAAAAAGATACAAGGGGTGCAGACTCCTGAAGCAAGCATGAAAAGAATAACAATAATTGTTGTTCTTTTCAAATCACCTAAACTGAACTTTTTGATACATTCTGCTGTAAAGTCAGTCTATGGGAGCTAGTTCCAGGATTATTTGCAACATTCTCCAAAAGTGCTTGTTTAATGTTCGTAGTACGATTAGGTTGTTGTCAGTTTACCCTTAACAGATTTAATGCTTATTTGATTAGAAACGATTCGGAAAATGGTCTATAGAAATCCTAGGAGCCTTAAAAGTGTTTCCATGAGCTTTGAGATAAGCTAACATTACAGCAACACATTCACAGTTTGTAAAACTCGACATGATGCATAATCACAGCTGTTAATACCATTTTATACCCGTATCATATACTTACAAAAAGATCAGCTTTTACAGCATCAGGTCTGTCATTACAGACAGCACCTTTGTAATTGGAGAATGCGAAGATTTTCAGTAAATTTTGGGTTGAAATAGTTAACGAATAAGTTGGCCTTATGTTCTACCAGATCTAACCTATGGTCAAAGATATTTACATGTTTACTTTTAAGTAACATGCTAAATGATTTGAATGAATGAATGACTGGATGATATTCTGCTAGAAATTCATCTAAATATGTTGTATCTTGACGACAGTGCTCCTTGTCATAATACCTGGATTACTCGAAATTGGTTAAGTCAGCGTTTTCTTAAGCAGTGTCTTGGTCGAACTGTTCTAGTCTCATGGCCCACCCGATTGCCAGATTTCGATCCGATCGACATTTTTAATGGGCTGGCGTATTCCAATCCAATTAATATGGTTGAAGAACTACGAGAACAAATGAAGTGCCGCCAGAATAATAGTAACAAATCAGAAATTTTATTAAGAGAAAAAAATGTTCAACGCTGTGTACAATTACGTCTTGATAATAACGGATGACATTTTGACATTTGATGTAACTTAATAATAATAATTGTTAATCTACAGAAATAACATTTACTTTTGGTCATTTTTTGCCTAATTTTAAGATCTTCAAGAAATTTTCTTATTTTTATGTGGAAACCGAATTAATTTCCCATTTTTATTTATTATTCGATCAAACAACAAAAAGTAACAAAAAATTAGGACAATAGTAGTTGCTTTTGATGAGTTAAATATGTAGTTAAAACTTTGCCCCGTATTTACGGGACATCTTGTACACTTCTTTTAATTCCACATCTAATATTTCTTTAAAAAATGGTCTCATCAAATTAGCTAATAACTAAAAACTAATTTGAACATTACTGGACCCATTGCTTCAGTTAATACATGACATGATAAATAATATAAATTCTTAAAATATTCTGGCTTGAAATGTGGAAACAGTTTAATCAACGTAGAAGCCGAAAGAATTCTAATTTTTTTGCACGGTTTGTTTTTATTTGAAGCGAGCGAATATGCTGATAACGTTTAGTCAGTTCTTCCGTGAGTGGTAGTGTATGTGTCGGCGGTGTGTTGTTACAAAAAGTGAAATATTTGCAGTGCTACAGGACGTTATGGAGACGAATAATTTGGTTTTATGATGGAGATTATGAATTTGAATTAATGTAAATACTTATTACCAAACCATTAATATCGGTGAGTGATTAAATTATCTTTTATGTCACACCAATTTGAACTAAAAAGTAGGCAAATATTCGAACAATTTGTAAATGTTATTTCTATGCAAATGCTTCAAATTGATGTTTATGTTGATGTAACACGATTGACAATTATTTTTCGTCAGTTTAACAATTGAAGCTCCAGGTGAAGATTTCAATAAATTAATAGGTTCTTTTTTTCTGGTGTATTTCTATCGCGTATTCCAAATTCTAAATATCGTTTATACTTGAGATAGAGGAAAGATTACATTCATGAGCTCTGGATATTTAAAAAAAATTGGCGCTTTGTCTTTATTACGGAGAAATAAAAAACTGAAATATAAAATGTTACTTATAGTTTTAAATGGGACTAAATACAGGGTGTTTATTAAGTACTTGTACAAACTTTAAAAGGTGAATCTTTGACTAATTTTAAGATACAAATTTCATATGAACCTGGGTCTGCAACGGCTCGGTTCTTGAGATACAGAGCGTCAAAAAAAAAATTTGTTTGGTATTTTGATTATATTTCTATTCAGTAACATGGCAATATGACGAAATTCAGGAAACTGGGAGTATTGATGATGAGAAACTCAAATATTTACTTAGTTTATGGTTTAATGTTAGAGGGCGCCACATATAGTGTTGTACCTGAATTTAAATAACCATAACTTTTTTTGTGTCGCACTGTATATCATTTTTGACTAAACATAGGTACCTATTCTCCATTTTACGTACAAAAGGTACTCTTAGAATTTGTCGCTCACAGCAGCCGTTTTGTAAAAAACGGGAAAGTTAAACTTGCGTTGGAATTTTGTAAGTTGAAT